TTTTGGCGATTTACATTGGCGCAATTTTGCGCGGTTTTTACAGCGTCACCATCTTGATCTGAAACGTATTTTGTTGTAGTATTCAAAAAAAAAAAATAGTTAAAAAAATGGTTAATTTTTGTTGAAAATGATGACAGACTGTCTAATGATGCTTTAACCCTCGGTTATGGCCGAAAATTCCGTATAGAAGTCTGGCTTATTTATTCATACACATGAAAATTTTGCTAGATTTTAATCTATCGATTTCGGTGGGTATATTGAATAAAAGGAATCAAGTACGGTTACTGGTAGACGGTTGCACATTTCGCGATTTACATTGCGAATTGTTGGCGCGGTTTTTACAAGTCGTCAGCCATCTTGAACAAGCTGTTTTTAGTATTTCACCATATTAAGTATTCGAACTTTAAAAAAATAGCGTAAAATAATGGATTTTTTTTTTTGTTGAAATGATGACACACTGTCTAATGATGCATTTAACCCTCTCAGGTTGGCCGGAATTCCGTATAGAAGAGGTGGCTTTTTATCATTACACATGAAATTTTTGCTAGATTTTAATCTATCCGATTCGGGGAGATTTATATTGAAAGAATAATCAAGGTACGCTGCTACTTGGGTAACGGTTGCACGGATTTTTGGGGATTACATCGTTGGGCGCGGTTTTACAGTCGTCACCATCTTGAACATGCGGTTTTCGTTTGCACGTATAGTAAGTATTCGAAACTTTAAAACAATATATCGTTAAAAAAATGGATTAATTTTTTGTGAAAATGATGACAGATCTATTATGCATTTAACCCTCAGTTATGGCCGGAAAATTCCGTATAGGGGGCTGCTTATTTATTACACATGAAATTTGCTAGATTTAATCTATCCGAATTCGTGGGATGTATATTGAAAAAGGAATCAAGGTACGTGCTTTGGTAACGGTTCACGGTTTTGGCGATTTACGGGCGCATTGTTGGCGCGGTTTTTCAGCGTCAGCCTCTTGACAATGCTGTTTGACGTATTTCACTAAAGTAAAGTATTCGAAACTTTAAAAAATAACGTTAAAATAATGGTAATTTTTGTTGAAAGAATGACACTCTGTCTAATGCATTTAACCCTCTCAGGTTATGGCGAAAAATTCCATAGAAGGGCTGGCTATTTTTCATTACACATGAAAATTTTTGCCCGTTTTTAATCTATCCGATTTCGGTTGGGATGGAAAAGGAAAGGAATCAAGGTAGGTGTACTTTGGTAGACGGTGCAGGATTTTGGCGATTACATTGGCGCAATTGTGGGCGGTTTTACAGTCGTCAGCCATCTGACATGCTGTTTGTTAGCGTTTCAGTAGAGTTAGGATTCGAAACTTGAAAAAAGAAATCAGCGGTAACACTAATGGATCAATGTTTTTGTGACAAATGATGACAGACTCTGTCGATGATGCATTAACCCTCAGGGGTTAGGCCGAAAATTCGTAGAAGGGGTGGCTTATTTATTCATTACACATGAAAATTTTGCTGAATTTAATCTAGCCGATTCGGTTGGGATGTATATTGAAAGAAAAGGATCAAGGTACGGCTACTTTGGTAGACGGTGCACGATTTTTGGCGATTTACATTGGCGCAATGTTGGGCGGTTACAGTCGTCAGCCTCTGAACAATGCTGATTTACGTATTCACGTATAGTAAGTATTCGAACTTTAAAAAAAAATATCGTTAAAAATAATGATTAATTTTTGTGAAAAATGACACAGACTCTGTCTAAGATGCATTACCCCTCAGGTTAGGCCGGAAAAGGCCGTATAGAAGGGGCTGGCTATTTATATTACAAGAAAATTTTGCTAGATCTGGCAAGGAAACGTTGGGTTGTAGGAAGAGGGTGACAAATGTAAATACACATTATAGAAGATAAAACATGCTAGAGTAAGGTTAAATTATTCTGGCAGTAATAGAATAAAACAGGGCCACATTTATGGAATAAAATTTACTTAAAGGGAATATCATGGAAAACATACACCAACGTTTAAAGAATTAAGGGTTCAATACTAAATTCAAAGCCGGCGTAAAATAAGGGGATAGGATAGAATTATTTAACATTAAAACATTTAACATGGGGGCAAGAAATATCTCAGGAAGGTTAAAAAAGGAAAAAATGCTAGAAAAAGTTGAAGGTACAAATAAAGTTAAAGAAAAATAAGTACTTAGGTTTTAAGGCATTGACGATACGCATATGGATAAGCACCAGGAAAAAAAATCTTCACTGTATCCACAGGGCTCGCACGCAAAGAGCAACAGGAGTCGAGGTCCTCACATTTTAAATAATTCCCTCTGAACCTAGTACAATAAATAAATCTTGATTGGAATCCAGGTTAGCCAATAAGGTCTCAATCGGCAATTTTTTTATGCGATACCAATAATTCTGGTAATTACCACTAACAACATTCATCTTATCGAAACGGAGCATCCATTCGCTTGAAATCTGAGGAAATCGAGAGATGAATATAAATTTTAAAATGGCGCGGTAATGCACAAATATTCAGGGTGTTAATCACGCCTAGAATAAAATTATTTAAATAATATTCATAAAAATCATATTTAATGCAAAAATTAAATTGTGTTTTAATTTAACATCCATAAATAATGTTTAAAAAACATTAAATTAAATTTATAGATATTAAAACCAATTACTTTAAAATAATGTGACGTCATTCATTACTCACTCACACTAAAATTCCATAAAATACCATAAACAATAAAATTTTTATTTCAAATTAAAATGAAAAATAAATTCATTTTTAGTATTTAGAAGTCATAAAAATATTTAAAACACGGAATTTATGCATAATAAAACGCATTATTTTTTAAATAAAATGACAACAAAGTATCGGTTACCATAAATAACTTGTCTAGCAATGGGTTTACCATAAGCCGTATCGCTCGTCAAAAAGAAATCGCCAAAAAATCGCCAAAATCCGTGCAACCGTCTACCAAAGTAGCACCCAAGGTACAAAATGAAAGAGTAGTCTTTTAATTGAAGTCAAGAAAATACCACTTAGTCATGACATTTTAGGGAACTTTGAAATTTCAGGACTAAACCCGTAACGCTCGTTTGAAATATTTGTAGTTTCAAAGATATAAGCATTCACGCACACTTCAATCAATGCCTTAATTTTTACATTCGTGTCAGACCATTATGGTGGAACGTAATCCTACATTAACAAATCAGAATTAGTGTCTGCTGCTTGGATTATGTCATTCAAATTCAAAATAAGAGATCTTCATTGGATCAAAACAAAAGATTTATAGTAAAAGAATTCTTTAATCTGATTGGTGAGAGCTTATAGCATTCCAGCAGTATTACATAAATGGATTAAATTTGAAGAATATAGTACAAGGAAATTATTATAAACAGTTTAAAACGGAAAGGGCAGGTAGCCAAATTAAGATGAGGAATTAAAAAGACTGCGGCTGATTTAAAATTATTCTTTCACAGTTTATATCTTACATATATATGTGATGATTTCAAAATGCGTAGATGAAAGCAGTGGAACTCTCAACAGCTTACGTTACTGCGTAGATAACCGAGAAGACCGTAGTGGCTTGAAGGTGGCAGAGTGGAAAGCATGATGACGCAATTTAGCACAATATATCTTGAAAAATCACAATCTTTATTTTTTCTACGCATATCAAATCATCCTTTTCCAGACAAGATGTTTCCTAATTATATTTGAATACATAAATTGCAGTTTGAATTATAACGTCATCTTAAGTAAGTAAGCAGCAGCAGCTTGGTTTAAAAACGTCTTGCCAGCAGGAAAGCTATGCGGTAAAAAGGGAAAGGTTATAGTACTTTCATAGGAAGAAGGCTAGGAGTGGGAAAGTTTCAGTTCAGAGTTTTGGTTTAGAATTAATTTGATTTGACAAGAGGTATCTGCATTAAAACGTTACGTAAGATAGAAAACTCTGGAACCTGTGAGAAGAGATGAATTAGGGGTAGATCATCAAATTTAGAATGTTAATTTTGAGATCATCAATTATATTTTGAAACAGCTATCATATTTTGTTATATCTTACATATATATATAAATCTTTTCACCAAGGTTTTATACTTTCATTTACCTTTTAAATTTTTCGAGTTACGTGCTCTTAGTTTAAAGGCAGAAATTTGATATGAGTTTTTCACTGGAATATTTTATTGTTCACCTGCGCTTTCAATGCTTTGAATGGCGTTCTCTTTATTCAAAATTTTAATTTCAATTTACTTTGCTTTTTTATTGCTTTGTGGAGGGGCCAGAAGTTTCTGGTGAACTATTATAGTTAAAATTCACTGAAATGATCCATCGGCTAATTCATGAGACAGAAAAGCAAGGATTTTTGTGGAAGAGAGATTTCAATTGATTTTAGTGTTCCTCCTCCTGACGAAGTGACATTGAAGGTTGATTGAATTCCTCTTCTATCATACTCTCTTTTCTTTAAATATCATCGATTTTTTTGAATTGGGGTTATTGCTTGTTTGAAGAGTTTTGGTTTTAACATTTATTATATTCTTTATTGCATTTATAGGATTATTTGAAATTTATTAATTATGAATTTGCTGGTCTTTGTGAAAAATTGATTCTAAATTTATGTCTTTACTTATAATTTTTTCGGCAGCTTGATGCGCGAAAATTCTAGAAATGATTATACTTCTTTTTAATTATTTTGTAATTATATATATAGAGTGATGTATATTAATTTTTCTTAAGGGGCTTCCTTGCGAAATGAATAGTATTTCAAGAGTCCGAAAGTATAAAAATGGTTGAGGAACGCTTAATATATGCTAGATGAAGAAAAAACTTTCTTGCCTAAACTAAACCATTATATACAAGAATAAAATGATGTTACCGTCCAATAATACTTGACTATTAGGTTTCAGTAAAGATAATTAAGTAATAGTCATTTATTAGGAAGTGAGTACATATGTTAGATATTCAAAACCTTGTTCTTGTTTTTTTAACTAATGTGTGAATAATTTCGCAGATAGTGTCGGCGTTCAGCACGCGGCATATCCTCACTTGGTTCCAGCACCATGCCCAGCAGGTTACTTTCCATGCAACAGCTCGGACGTCTGCGTTGAGAGGAGGATGAACTGTGATTCGAAAATGGACTGTCCAGATAATTCTGACGAATGGTCATGTGGTACGTATCCTTCTTTCACTACCTTTCATATAGCTTATACATATCGTATCTCTTAAAACATGCTTTAATTGCAAAAAAAAAAAATATGGAAACATTACTACAAAAATTAATCAACTATACATTACAAGCAGTCTCCTATATGTAAAAGGCTAGAAAACTGTGAAAAAGATCTAGTTAATGCTTTCACAACCAATCCGCCCCACACGGCCCTACATTAAACAAGCAGATCCGCCCGAAAACGGCCGAGATTGTAACCTTGTTTTCTTCCCTCCTCCTAAAGTATGCAGTAGCAGGTGCAGTTTCCCCAAATGGTATTGTATTAGTTTACAGCAGACAGCTTGTCCTATGAGGTTTCTTATCTTTTTGTTGCTCGTAACTTTTCGTTGTTGATTCTTTTCTGGTACAGTGTGCTTTTAAGCTTTAAACAGCAATAAAAATGCAGTTTAAGAATTTAAGGATTACATTTATTTTTAATCAATTTATTCCTTCCTATAAAGATAACGGAAATAAAAAAAATTTCAGTCGAGATCATAACAAAGCCAGAAAGGCTTGTTGGTCTGACCTTCAGAATAACTTTATAAAGAACGGGGTCAAAGGCTAATGGAATTTTTGTTAGAAAGTGCAAAGGGTGTCATTCGAAATCTTCACACCTATTTTTTGAGTTAACAGACGGGGAGGGGAGAAAATTGTTGTGAAACTGGAAAAGCATTTCTTGCGGTTCGGTATTTTGAGGATACAGGTTAGAAAATGGTCCGGATTTCAAAGAGATAAAATATTTCTCTCGCCTTCTTAGCATGCCTTCGTGGTATAGTGGTGAGCACACTCGACGCGTATTCGAGAGGTCAGTGGTTTCTTAGAGAGTTGCTCATTTTCATCTCTCCTGCTTCTAAATAACCTAATGAATCTACAAATGTATAAATAATCAAATAATTTTAGGTGATCCATACAGAAGAGTCATTAGTTTTTTTGCAGCAAGAGACGTGAAAAATATGGAGTGCCCTGGCCAGGACTCGAAATTTGGACCTCTCGAATACGCGTCGAACATGCCTCGAAGACACCACGAAAGCACGCGGAAAGAAGGGAGAAAATACTTTATATACTACCCCTTTTAAATGGCGATTGGGGATTAGGCGACCCATTCGCCAAATCCTGGTGATTGACGAATTATCGTTAAAATTCCTGCTCCTGAATTTATTACATATATATATAAAACGTTTGAAAGATTTTACATTTTAATGCTCTCCCAAGAGGTTTTTTTTAAGGTTTTTTCCGCTTTCGGTGAGCTTGCAGTCTACCAGTCTGTTGTTAACTCATTCCCACTAACCCGTTTACTCTTTCTAGTTTTATTATTAAGCATCATTTTCTTCGCCGTACGCCATATACAATTCAACAGCAAAATTACAAAAAAATTTAAAAGTAGCATAGCAGTATATGTTTAGAATTTATGCAGCTTTAACTGTTCGCATACGCTTTTCTGTTTATTTTCAGAATAAACTTTCAGAATAGAATAATTCAGACTAAACTATTTCAGAGTAAACTTTTTTTAAAGAAAACAACATATGTATGTTCAGTTTTCTTACTACAATAAGATGGCTTCACAATAATTTCTTTGTCTTTTTATTATTAATGCTTTGTGCGTTTTCTTTACTTGTGAAATACCACGTCCTTGGCGCTTAGACCACATAAAATTCGATTCAACAGCAAAATCATAAAAAATTAAAAACATCCTATCTTAAGAAATTCTGATACACAATCTGACGCACAGGAGATAAAAATATTTTATTCCGTGCAGTGTCGCTACGGCTCGTTGAGCTTGTTAACCAAAAATTCATTATACGTTTACAAAATATGAAATACAAAATAGAATAAGTTGAAAATTTGGCCTTTCAGATGCCTATGTTCGGGTGGAGAATTACGTTATTCAAACTTTAATGGCTCTACATCCGTTGTTTTTTCACAGTGCGAGAAACAAACATACCATATGGATAATCTTCATTGTTTAATTTTTTTAACTATAATACAAGGCGATAACACTTGGTGGCAACAGCCTGAAAAGTCATAGAACGACGCAAAACGTCGTTCCGAAACAGTATTTCATTTGGGACTAATGCACTTTTTGCGCTAAAAGAAAACTTCCAGTTATAATAAGTTTTTCAGTGTGTGTTTCCATAGAAAGGAAAGATTCTGTAAAAAATTGCTACAGAATTTACACTTACAGTAAAAAAAAAAGTAATGATGCTTATACAACCTTTATACAACTTCCACCACGAAAACATCCCAGCAGCCAGACTATCAGTGTTCAGCGACTTTATCGCTCGGCCGCTGGTGGGCCAACTTCAGTGGATGCTGTCATAAATGTAAAGTATCAGGGAATAGGAAGATTTAACTACATATTAAATTTTCAAAAATACTACATTTATTTAACATATATGAATTGGTAAATGCAAATTTGTTATATAAACGTCGTTTAAAATATTTGCATTCTTTTATGTTTATCTATGCATATAAAATATTCACGTTATAAATTAAGGTTTAGCATGTTGAATTAATTATGAAGTGTTTATGTGACAACCAAAAAGTAAATCTCTTGCTCAAATTAAATTTACTCGTGAGATACCAGAAAGCTAGGACTCTATTTATGTTATGTAGTATTATTTTCCAGAAGTAAAATAATTTTGCTTTTATTTTAAGGAAATCTTGTTAAAATTTTGTTCACTAAAATTTTATCATTACGAAATTGAAATCAATAAATCGAGATGATAGATGATATGTGGTTTTACAGAAATCAATGGAAAAAAACCTACATGTATCAAACAATAAAGGCTTCTACAATAAGATTAATAATCACTGGAGAAATGTGTATTTGTTGCATTATTATAAACGTTATTAATTGACAGTAATGCAAACAAATTATTGAGCAGTCCTGATTTTAACAAAAGAAGAAGTTATAAGGTATTTCTCCTGCCATCCCAGCGTGCCTTCTTAGCATGCCTTCGTGGTGTAGTGGTTTTGCACGCTGGGCCGGTATTCCAGAGGTCCGTAGTTCGATTCCCGACGAAGGAGTTTCAATCTATCTGACTTCCAAAAGATCCTAATGTCTCTACAAAGTAAAAGAGACATGTTTAAAAAATTAGGCTTATGAGAATTTTAAAATACACGGAAATTGGTAGTAAATCTGTATAGCAAATAAATGGTAGAAAAGATAGCTTTTAAAATTCTAAGAGATAAAAGTTTTAGGTTCACTCGAAAGTGTGTGAATGTCCGTAAAATAGTCTAATGAAACGCTTCTCACAATTTCCCCTTCTTTTCCCAAAATAAGCTCTTCCTTCCGTTCTACTGTTTTCTTTCGATTTTCTCCTTCAGTTTAACTTTCTTACAACAAATATTGTCCACTTTCATTGATTAAACCTCTCTTGGTGTTATTCTGTAGTATCTTACCTGAACACCTTCATTTAAACATTTATTCCCTTTGTGTACTTTAACCTTATCTTTTACCTACTTTAAGGACAAAAGAAGTCTAGAGGATTATATTCTATATCGTTAATAGTTTTTGTTCCAGTTCACGTGCTGGCAATGCTGGTAAGTGGTACATTTTTCTATGTGTGAAACAATATAAATCGGACTTTTTGGAGTATTTTTCACTTATAAACAAATGATAGTTTTTAATTATCTGACTCGGTTCTTTCTTTTATTTACTCCATTCTTTCTTTTTATAAATAAGTCTCACTGCTTTATCATTACTTAGTATGAATTTTATTAATGTTTTACTTTATATATTTATTTAATGTTGGGAATTTTTATTAAGTTATGTAGTTTAACCATTGCTTATTTGTCTGTTTGCTTTAGAATTCTTATTTAATCTTTCAAACAAGTTTGTTTAAAACCCTCTGAATCTTATGGATGGAAAATTCCGTATAGAAGTGTGACATTACATATCAAGATTTCTGCCAGCTTTTAATGTATCCGATCTCGGGTTGGATATATACTGTAAGAAAAGGAATCAAGGTACAAAATGAGAAAGTCATTTTTAATTATAATCAAGAAAATACCATTTGTTGAAGACACTTTTATGAACTTGGAAATTTCAAGGCTAAACCCGTAAGGCTCCGAGGGTCACTTTTCACGCCCTGAAAGTCATCCAGGTAAAAGTCATCCAGGTAAAATTTCAGCCACATTGCTTTCAAAAAGGTAGCTATTACCTTTTCGAAAACAAGCATTGGTTAGCATTAGCAAGCATAATAAACATAAAAATTTAGCAAGCATAATAAACAATTTCATAAACAAGCATTAGCATTTCAAATTTAAAACGGAGATCCAAGCAAATCTATAATTATAAAAATAAATGTTTGTTTGTCTTTTATACAAATCTACAGCTTAATTCGGATCTTTATGAAACATGTCACACTCGACATGAGGAAGGTCAACGTCCACAAAAGATTTCTAAAAACCAGCCCATCGGGTCCGCACTCTATATACACGTATTTTACGCTAGTTTAGCGAACTTTTGATTAAAACTCAGCCCTTCAAAGAGCTTTGCATTGTCACTCTGTGAAACGTAAGATGTATGTATATATACGTTTTAAATTTAATCAGAAAACTCGGGGATATCAAAAGTTGTGTTGCCACTCGGGGAAAAGGAATGATATTAATTTGTCTCGAATTTAATAAATAAACTCGGGTATTTAAGAGACGTGTACTACCACTGCATAAATTAAATGATTTTGAAGCTTGTTATCTTTCAGTAAAGTGTAATTTAATTATTCACGCAATAACGTGCGTGTTATTGTATCACACGCGTTTTCTTAGCTTTTTGAAAGTGAATTTGTAATAGTCATCACAAAGCATTACTTTCGCTGTCAAATCAATTGCGGCACCAAAACGAAAATCGATTGCTTGATCTACACCTCAAGCACGAAAGATAAAGGCATCACCAGCTTCAGAAATAAACGAACAACGGGAAGCAAGGCTAGAAAACGTTCGAATACGCACTGCTGAAGCCTGTTCGTATGAAACAAACGAGCAACGGGAAACAAGACTGGGAAACGTTTGAGTTTGCACTGCTCAAGCGCGTTCCTTTGAAACAGACGAGCAACGGAAAGGAAGACCGCTCAAGCTCAGCTGGAAACAGACGAGCAAGGGGGAATCAATACAGGAAAGCGTTCTAATACGCACTGTTGGGTCCAGACCAACATGCACGCTGATTTATATCTTGGTGCATTTCATTACGAGGATAATTATAATTACAATCTTCATGCAAACGTGGTCGTTAGGAAGATGGATACATTATGCATGTATTGCAAAACCCTCAAATTTAAGAATGAAGCACCAGGAATGGGCTGCGCGGGTGGAAAAGTTAAATTGCCAGAACTTATTTTGCCACTCGGACCATTATCAGCCTTGGTATCAGGTGACACAAGCCAATTGAAACATGCAAAATACGTTTACAGAAAAAAATTCATAACAGAATTAAAATACCAACATTTCCTTTCTTTTAAGTAGCATTGCAACGCGTGCCGGGTAACAGCTAGTGTAGGATAGAAATATAATTTGAATGCTCCTGCTAAATGCAGTCTGACGTAAATGTGGACAGCTGTATATTAAAGCTTAACAAAACTTACTCGCAAATTTCAGCTTGTTCAGTGCAATGAGTCAAATATAAACTACACTTAAGGGAAAGCAAAATGTGCTGTAATTAATTAATTTAGAATAATGCATCAACATCAAGGTTTGTTTAAGACTGCAAAAAGGTACTAAAGAAACGTATTAAATGTTACAGTCAGTTTACGATTTTATTGCGTTGATTATGAAAATGGCTGACTGGTAGCTCCATTATTTCTTACTGAAAAAAGCACGTCATTCAAGAGCCAAAATTGAAGTGGCATGTAATATTTTTAGCTTCTTGGAGCTGTGCAATATCTATCCGAGTTTGCCTTGGAAATCAGCAAGTTGTCCTAAATCGATATACGTATATTGGAGCTTCATTCATCTTTTCTATATGCGTATCTGTATATTATCTCTTTTGTGTTTATTAAATATCAATTACTCCCTCTACGATTGGATTCTTAATATTCCTTATCTTAATATTTCTTAATTCGAAATTTTGTTACCACAGTCGTCTCAGACATAAACTAATAGGCCATTATCATTTGTCTATGTACACTACACGTTGCGTCTGTGGTGCTGCATTATGCAGTATACATATTATACGGAATATAAAACTTTCTTAAGAGCTTTTATTTTGTGCGCTATACAAATTATTGAAGCGCATATGTTTGATTTCAGTTAATATTAAAAAGATGGAGGTTTAAAAACACTTCTTAAAAATGAGAGGAATTTTGTTTCTCTAAAATCAAGGCCTTTAAGTACAACATAAAGCATAAAACAATCTAAGGGAAAGTAAAATACTGTTATTCCATTTGTGCTTATTTTAGGCAAAGCACACTAGGGCTATTTTCCTAAGGGTAGGGATGCCTTCTTGGAGGACTTTCTAACGGAAACTGGCTCGTATACACGTTACACATGGGGAAAACCACGAAAACACCCATGCAGCCAGCCCGTTCGCGGGATCCGAACCTCGGACCGGACTACCAGCGTTCAGCGACTTTACCGCTCGGCCGATGGTGGGCATGCTTATTTTATTCTGAGAAAGGTGTATTTTAAGCTAGTCTGTCATAATTGCGATCAATACATTTAGCTTCACCAGCTAAATGTATACATGATGTTCGAACATCACTCATTGGGAACGGTGACTGGTGTCAGGGGTTCATGTGGCCCCTCACCCTTCCCCATACCGTCTTGGGGTGCTCTAGCCCGTCCTCACCGTTGTTGCAATAAATAAGTTGTTGCAATAAATCAGATTTGAATCACATAATTTAGTAAGATTTTTATGACTGTTATTTTATTTTCTCATTTAGAACGTACTGTATAATTAAGTAAGTTTTTAACTTCTATTATTTTCCTTTCTCATTTTGAATGTATTGTGTGTTTTTAGGTTCTCATGTTCTTAAGTTCTTATTTCAAGTCTCAAGTGCGTTTTATTCGCTACTGAATTACGGGAAGAAAATATAATATTGTTATATGTTCAACATTCACCATTAGTACATGGTGAATGTCGACATTGACCGGTGTAAGTCAGAAATAAGAGTATTTGGAAAATATTTCGGACATACACCAAGAGACTATGTCAATGTTGACATTCACCGGTGAAAGTCGACATTCTCCAGATTTCGGTGTTTCACCGTAACATATGTTTATATATATATCGTTTAAACTGTGCGCTATATTTAAAGATACGTATGTCTAAAATTAATATTATTGCAGTACAGCTCTTAACCACCTTATCTAAGCATCTTATTTAAGAAAACCCTTAATCTCTTTTATCAGTCATTATGTGCTGAGTGAAACGATAAAATGCCTAAAGAAGCTTAAAGAAAAATATAATGTTTGGGTAATTAATTAAAGTCAGATTGAATATCTTCAAGATCGTTTGCAATAGTTTAACAAATAATAAATTTACCATGCTCAAGATGTCAGGACTTGTACGTCCTTTAACTTGCTTCGGAAACATAACGTATCCTGAATAAGAACAGAGAGCTTACTAAAACTATGTTACAGATTGTGTGGAATAGACGACACAAGCAGGAAGGGTATACTGAACCCTTTATTCTCTATAAGATCACAGGTGCTCCCGCACTTCGGGATACAGAGACCAACCACTTGTTGTCTGAACGTAAAAATATAAAACTACTAAGTAAAACTCTAACTGAAAGCTAACTTTGAATTAGTATACAAATGCCTAACACTAAGACTGGCCTTTTTAAAAGGGTACGTATGTAGTACGCCAAACTGCCGAAACTACAATACGTTTTGAATATCAAGAGGACTAAACCTCTGGTCTTAAAGGCAAGCAGCAACTGATTGGAAACTCGTAAGAATGCAGTGACAAGCGGCTTGCTTCATCGCTTTCTCTAACTCTTGGCAAAAAGCCACAACTTAAATACTTGGACGTTAGCAAGTACAATTTGCATAAACAAGTTAAATAATTTAATTCTGGCCGGAAGTGGAAAATAAGAAAGATAGAAAAGTTTTAAAATAAAATAAACGTTAGTAAAACTGAGGATTCTTACAAAGAAACTATCACTTTTAATATATAACGAAAAGTAAGTTAAAACGAATTAAAAAAGTTATATTTTAAAAATTAACAGGAAACGTTTGCTGTCTTTTTTTAAATTAGTCCGGTGGATACACTACTTATAGATGTAGGAGAAACTAATCATGAAAAATTTACTCTGATATAACATTGCAGACTACTCCAATCACTAGCAATTTATGTATAACTTGAATATCGAAATTTTAATTATCGCCCTTTTAGACTAATTCCCTAATGAAGCTTTCAATGTCTTTCTAGAGGATCATATTCGAAAGAACTATTATGATCAGTTGTTCAAGAAGCGGCCTGATGCTGACCGAGAAAAGAATATGTCGGGCTGTGGTAAGTGATGCATGCATGTGTAGTATAAAAGTGCAAAAGATTTCTATTATTTAAACAATTTTTCAGCTTTGTGTGATATATATATATATATAAATATTGTTCAAAACAATTAGTGATATTGGGATTTTGGATATAAACTTCTGATGAGGAAATGTTTTGTCACTGATGTATGATGTATAGGTATTATAAGATATGAGAAAAGAAAGCGAAGTAACGAACGAGGAGTCATTAAATGTTATTGAAGACATTTCTCTGTAAATAAAAAATGCTCCATTTGTACGTGTTATACAAACGAATAAAAATATGATTCATTTTTTGGGTACAAATGAGTTTCAAGAAAGGGTATGGTTTCCCTTACCGAAAGCAATGTCTCATACCTATGAGGAATGGAATCAATGAGTATTATCAATGAGTTCTGCAGAAAAGAGCTTTCAAACTGCTGATTTGTTTCTGGGCGTCATACACTACTACCAACCCTTCTCGATTAAATGTCCCAAACACATTCTTTTACGTTCATATCTGGCGACCATGCTGGCCAATCCATTCGAAGGATTCCTTCGTTCAAAAGTTCAATAGCATTAAATGACCCCAACACGTTCTTTTACGTTCATATCTGGCGACCGTGCTGACCAATCCATTCGAAGGATTCCTTCGTTTAAAAGTTGACTAGCTGAACACGACGGAGGCTCGCGTTATCATCCATGAGAATGAATTCATCCCCGATTGCTGCAGCGTAAAAGACCACAATAAGTCTGAGGATCTCATCCCTATATCGCTGAGCCGGTAGTGTCATATTCCTCATAATGTGCAGGTCGGTTGTGGCCATTGCTAGAAACACCAGCCCCGAACCCTCACTCCACCTCCTCCAAATTGGTCACTTTCATGCACAAATGCAGGTGTATTTAGTGTACCAGATTTTCTCCAGATGAGAATCTGACGAAGACTCTCGTTCAGTTCAGCATCGGCCTCCTCGTGGCGCTCGCTGTTAACTAAGTCGGTTTCGACTGGCATAGGCTAACGGTCCTGGACAACTAACTCTGTGGTCTGACTGTGCGGAATTACCGGAACCGACCATTTAAGGGAAGAGACCCGGGGTTCTTCCAGATCACTGGCTAGGTCTAGGCAGCTTTGGTTTGCAGAGCAAATAATCAGTCTTCACATAGATTAGAACCATCGTTTATTCGGAGGTCGGTTCGGGCTTGGCAGGGACCGTACCGGTACTGTCTTGTTTTGGGCCTTGGCTGTAGGGACGCTACATGGTCAGATTTCGATGGCCGTCCGAGGGGGTTGGTCCCTCTCGGTCGGTGTAGAGGGACGGACGATGTCTGGCTTTTGTAGTGTCTAAGAAATAGTACCGCGAGAGGGAGTGAGGACCCCGCTTGTGAGAATTGTAACGTTGGTAACATTGTGATTTGAGTAGTCGGCGTTGAGATCGGCCCTGTGGATATCTTAGTGACGGTCGCCCGTCGGTCTCTTCTCCAATGAATTTTGACTAGGGAATTTTGCTCCCTTTGCAGCGACCGGGAGGGGTGGCGCGGAACGGTTCACTAACATAGCAGATAAATTTACAATGTATTATACTAAGCTTGAACTACTTATTAGTCCATAGGGGCCATTAGCCCTGAAGGACTATTAATTTTGTTTTCAAATTTTACGTTGAAAAAATTTTAAACTGCGAATTTCTTTTCAAATTGTTGCCACCAAATATTATCGCCCTGTATTAAAGAAATTAAATAATGAAGAATCTGCATGAATGTATGTATGTTTCTCGCGCTGTAATAAACAACGTTACCTAGAGACATCCAAATTTGAATAACGCGATCCTCCATAGAATATGGGCACGTAGAAGTCCTAATTTGAATTTGAAATTTTTTTTATTATCGATTTCATATTTTTTAACACTTCAACGAATTTTTGATTAATATACTCAACAATTTCAAAGCGAGCAATGGCAACACTGTACGAGAAAAAAAGTAAAAACTATTCTTATCTTCAGCACGCGAGACTCTGTATTGTAAATTCTAAAGATATGCTCATTTTAAAATTATTTTGCAATATTGCTGTTGAACTGAATTTTGTGGTTTGAGTACGTAGAACATGATATTTAATAAATAAAAATAACAGACAAAAAGTTAAATAACGCCCCTTTCGATGTAATTTAAAATCTGAAAACTTTCAGATTTCTTTTTATTGTTATTTACTTTTACAATGAAAATGATATTTACAATAGTTTCAGAATAAATGTAAGGAATGAAATCATGAAACATTTATTTCTTTAAAACATAAAATACACAAAATATGTATTTCTTTAAAACTTCTTTGATTGCATTTTTGTCTCATCTCGAAAATCCGTAATTCTTTCAGTGATTGTAGTTGTTGTTGAAAATGCTTTTCATTTTATGGCATTGTATTCTTTCCGTTTCCTGAGAAATAAAATTTGAAAAACATTGTGCACAAAACGTACTTTACTGTGGGATGAATAATATGTATCTCGTATTACGAAGCTATATACTTTTATTCTGTTCAAACAAATTTAAATTGATCCGATTATGCATTATTCATTTCATTCTCGTTCTTTAATACAGTTTACGTTTAAAGTAACAATGGAAGGAGATTTTATTACTGTGAAGAATAAATTACGAATCTGTAAGAAAGGGAAATTTGTCTAACATATTTTTTATGTAAGTTTGTTGAAACGGGTCTCAGTATGATTCCTTGAATCTTTAAAGAAAGTAAGAAATAAAAAAGAAAACATTACAAAATAAAAAAAAACCTGAAAGATTTCAGATTTTAACAGTTGGCCAAAAGTGTTTATTAAGATTTTTTACGCATTCTACCAGTCTGCTCTTACCTTCCCACTTCTACTAACCCCCATTTTTTTTGTTATTTTAGCTTCGTACCTACGCCACACACAATTCAAGAGTAAAATTACAAAAATTTTTAAAGTAGTCTTGCAGTACATGCTTAGGATTCTCCATGCAGCATTATGTGCTGGTTTACAATTTTCTGTTCTTTTGTCTTCCCTCAGCTCACATTTCAGCGTCCAGTTATCTTACTAAGATGGCTTTACAAAACGTTTTTTTTTGCACTTATCATTATTAACGTCTTGTGTGTTTACTTTATTTATTAAATATCACATTCCTGGCACTTGCGCCATATAAAATTCGATTCAGCGGCAAAATCACAAAACATTTAAAAACAGCATATCTTTAGAATTTCTTATAGATAGTTTCACGCGTTGGAGATAAAAAATAATTTACTCCCTACAGTGTTGCCACTGCTCCGCTTGAAATTGCTGAGCTTTTAATAAAAAATTCGTTAAAGTTTTACAAAATATGAAGTAGACAAAAAAAACATAGACGGTCTCGCGCACAAAAATTCGTTAAAGGTTTACAAAACATGAAATATAAAATTCTAAATTCCAAATTCTGGATTCCAGGTGCCCATGTTCGGGTGGAGGACTGCGCTACTTAAAATTTGATGGCTCTAGGTACCTTTGCGTTTTCAAAGTGCGAGAAGAATACTTGCATTCATGCAGATTCTTCCTTATTTAGTTCAATTAAATATAACACAAGGCAATAATATTTGTTTGCAACAATTTGAAGAGTGAGACAACATATTCAAGTGTTACGACGGAAATTGCCGTTTCCTGACCATCATCCCTTTTGGCCTAACACGCCAGTTAACAGTTATGAAGCAGCTTTTTAGGCATTGTGCAATTTGATATTAATTAATGTTAAATTAAATAGTTTCTTTCACGTTTTTTTCTACTTCATATGTTTCCTTTCAGCACAAAAATACATGGTACACTGCGGAAAAAAAATGGGATAGTTCTATATGTCCCATTCTACTGGGCCAATTGACGAATTTCAACTTGCGGGTTTCATGTCTCAAAAGCGCGACTTCGGATATGTATTAGATTTATATATGGCATTGTTTTAATATAGGAATTTTGACAAAAATCGGACTTTTCCTGAAATGACATGCCAAGTTATTTCCATATTTCGATTCTACGACTTAAATTATGCCAGACTCCCAAGTCCTATAAAAATCGCAAGAGTACGTTTTAAAAAATTAACTCTCAAATTTTTAGCTCCTCAGCGTTCATTGAATTTGATATATATTATATCTGTTATATATTTGATATATATTAATATCTCTTTTTTAATTAACCTTACTTTATTTCTTCTTCCAAAATTCGAACTTTAAATCTTAATCCCAAATATAATTAGCACAATTTTTATGATTTGTTTTTAAATATTTTTTTATAATTTTTCGAAAGAATTTTTGTTTTAAAACCTATAAAATTTTAAAAAACATCTTAAAATATATGTATTTCTAAGCATATCTGCAAAACATTAGAGCTTTTAATGAAAAATTTCTGAAGATATACATGTATTTACATTTTGGCGCGTTTTGAAATTTGGTGTATTTAATATAAGAGATAATAACGAAAATGTGGTTTACTCATTGTTTTAAAATTATTTGAAAGAATGAAAGGTTTTTTTTCCCTCTCGTGCCTCAATGTAAAAAAAAGGAAAACAAATAATAATAATAATAAAATTCTGAAAGGTTTCAGATTTTAAATTACGTCCAAAGAGGCGTTTTTTTTTGACGTTTTATGTGTTACCTTCATTTATTAATTATCATGTTTTTTGCACTTAAACATTAAATTCAGTTCAACAGCAATGCCACCACCGATGTTTCCCACCAAAAATTACAAAGTTTAATATGTAGACATAATTTGAGTTGTAGAATCAAAATATCGAAAAAAAGTGTTATATTTCAGAAAAAGTCCGATTTTCGTCAAAATACCTATGTTAGAAAAATTGCTAAATATAAATCTAATATATATCCCAAGTCGCGCTTTCGAGTCATGAAAAACGCAGTTAAAATTTCGTCGGCCCAGTAGAATGGGAGATATAAAACAGTCGCATCCCCCCCAATCAGTGTAGATTTTTGATTTTTTTTTTTTTTTTTTTTAGATTATTTGGGCTTAGATTTTATTATCATCAGCGAAAGGACATCGAACTATAATTTCATTCAATGCAGTTTTCTTTCATAATACAGGATTTCCAAGACTAGAAATGATTAAATTATTTGATAAAGAAAATACATTACATTGCTGTGATTGCATACTTTAAAATTTTAAAAAGGTTAAAGCACTAAATGAATAATCTATGTAAGGAGTTTATTTTGCATATTTCTAAGCTAGTGAGAAATTAGCAAATTTGAGATATACGTCTCATTACATATTCTTAGTCGTTTGAGTCGTTTTAAGTTTGTTCAAACGTCTTTAAAACACACGATCATACACAAAAAAAACTTACTTTAACTAATAGGATATAAAATATGTATTAAAATTATACCAGATAGAAAACCTCAGTGTAGAATGTATAAATCTGTCTCAAAGAAAATTTAAATTTTCATAGCAAAAAATTTTTTTCGAAGAGGGGAATGGAGCTCTGAAGAGTATATTGAATAAATATATTAAATTGCATTAAGTTATATTAAATTATAATTAACTTATATATAAATGTAAAATATTTTGTGATGAATTAATGCAGAATTAAATTATTTAAAAGGACAATTTTCTGATAGTAATGAGTTCGTCGAAAGAATTAATTTAAATATTGTAATTTAGTTCAATTTTAATTAATTATTGTGGTAACATGAAAAACCTTTCTTTGCAAAATTAGTTAAAATAAATATTAAGCATCTGCGGCGTTTTAATGGGAATATTATAAGAAATATTTTCTAATCTACAACTTTTTATGGATTTTTTAATGCAATTTTATCTCATATTAACATAACAATGAAGACATTTAAATTATGGAACGGAAATTCAAAGAATTACAGAAAAATAGAAGTTTTGCAATCAGACAAGATATAAGATAAAAGAATAACTAACATATAGCGAAAGTCATAATTGAATTTCTTCACAATAATTTTTAGACCCTAGAAATAAATAAATATTATTTTGCATCTTGCTTTCATATCAGATGGCAAAATGAAAACAAATGCAATTATTCAACCATAGGATTAGAAGGTATCTTTGCGAGGGAGAAATACTGCAAGTTTTTTTAATATTTTAAGTCTTTATTAATCATTGCTTATCTGTTCTTAATCTTTGATAGTCTCTTGATTTATTGAAGAGTCCCAGTAACTAATTACTGAAACAATATTAATTTCGCGGGGAGCTAAATTTTTAGTCCAAAGGGGCTTTGTCCCTGAAGGACTATTGTTTTCGTTTTGCGATTTTGTGTTTGTTTACTATAAATGTCCGTTTCACTTTTCAAACTGTTGCCACCCAATGTTAGAGTCCTGCATTATATTTGAAGAAATTAAATAATGAAAATCTGCATAAATGTATGTCTATTTCTCGCATTGTGATAAAATAATGGTACATAAAGCCATCGAATTTTGGATGACGTCACCATCCGACGAATATGGGCATATGGAAACCCAAATTTGAAATTTGGAATTTGTTTATTATCGATTTCATATTTTGTAAAACTTCAACGAATTTTTGACTAACAAACTCAAGGATTTCAAAGCGAGCCATGGCAAAGTTGTGCACAAAATCATTTTTATCTCCAGTCTCTGATTCGGAAATTCTAAAGCATATGCTCATTTTAAAACTATTTTGCGATATTGTTGTTGAACTGAATTTTGTGGTGGTGAGGCCAACACACCACGAAGGCATGCCAAGAAGGCGGGAGAAATACCGTCAATAGTTCCCCTTTTAAAGGGCGACTGGGGTTTTTAGAGGACCCAATCGCCAAATCCTGGGTGGGGAGAATTATCATCCACCACTCTTTTAATTAGGGTGCCAGTGTAGAGATATTAGGTATATTTTGAAGCAGGAGACTTGAAAAATGAGCAAATGCCTACGCTGGGAATCGAACAGCCGACCACTGGAATACGCGCCCAGCGTGTAGACCACAGCACCACGAAGACATGCTAGGAAGGCGGGAGAAATACCTTATAAGATAAATGGCTCTAAGTTATCTCACTATGGCATGATCACTCTAGCAGTGAGATAAATGGATAAATGGCTATTAATTTTTATCGTCAAATTTGGCAAGAAATCACCGAAATTCGCCATTCGTGGCCATTCGCCATTTGTTGGTCTATGTGGTCTGAATGTATATAATTGGCCTGAATTCCTATGTAATTGTAACAGTATCAGGCCTATATATGTAATTGTAACCGTATATGCCTTTCAGTAATTTTGAGAAATGAAAATTTCTCAGCGGCCGGGGGAAAACTATGTCAGACTGGAGCAAGCATCAGTTTACAGTTTTTAATTCAAAATTGACTTCTGAGTTTTGAGAGATCTCCGTGCGAGCTTCGCTCTTTATATGCGCTTTCAAATGAATTTTTGTATAATGTTCTTAGTAGTCTGAAGTAGTAATTACTGATTGTGCTCTGACATACTATCATTTAATTTTTTTAATTTTCTTTTTACCGTTGTGAATTGGGTCATCGTAACATAATTTCAATCAAACCAAAATGGTGAAGAGATGCTTTACGAAAAGGGGAGTACATTCAAATGACAACTCATAGATAACGGAGCAGATGATTAGTGTAGTTATAACTGTAACAACAGTAATAACCCAAGTAATTGAACAGTAACAATTATAACCCTAGATAACTACTACAACTATAATAGCCATTGCAACTATTCCAGGCAAATCAACTAAGGTACCAGAAAATTGAGTCATGTAACTCTCTACCCAGACTAAGCTAGATAGTATTACAACAAATGAAAAATTAACGTTAGAAAAATAACTCGTCTCGTAGAATAGTAACTGGACTGTAAGAGCAAAAAGGAGTGTAATTTAAGCTTATTACTATCCATATTGCATGCACTTGTTAAAAATAATGTTGTAAAGCGGTTAAAAATAACACAGAAAATTCAGTCAATGTGTAACTGAATATCAAGTTTGATTATCTCAGTAATAATACTGTAAATATGAAATCAGATAACGTTTAAATGTGCCCATAACTAGAATGATTATATCTAAGTATCTCATGTAACTTATACAAGACAATATTTGTAATTAACATATTTCTATGCTTATACACAGGCCTTGTATTCCCATGTAATATTTATATTTATGTATGGAAGACCAGGATGACTATTAACACTGCAAGACCTTTACAACAAAGTCAAGGTCAGTGGTTATCCTAGGCGGCGCTCAAGTCCCATTCAATCCTGTCAAAGGGGACTGATAGAGTGAACGGAACACTCTTACGAATTTATACGATGCAACCGGAATGGGGCTCAGAAGCAAAGTTGTTGTCGAATTCTTTTTTTGTCTGAGCTTTCTATAAATCCCGGGGGGGGGGTAACTGTAAGTGTTGCCCACGCTTGGATGGTCTCCGGAGTCTGTACGTTAATTACCGAATGATACAAACTGAGCCCGGTGTTTGTCTCTGGTGCTCTGTGTAGGATTATATAATAAAAAAAAGTTTTTGTTTACAGAACCTGGCTGAATCCGTTATACTTAAATTCTCTACCTTATCTTGAAAAATCGTGCGAATGGAGTTATATGTCTAGACCAGTATGTAAACAAATAAAGATCCATGTTCACTTTTCTCGAAGCCTTGCATGTGATTTTATTATATGCATATACTATTATTATTCAAATTTACATAGCCGGTGCTAAAGCGGACTTCTCTCTGATTGATTAGGTAAATTGTTTAGATTAATTCACACTATCATTATGCCAATGCAATTCGCTTTGAAGGTTTATCAATTTTAATTTTTGACATCAGTCTGTATTAGTTATTCAATGAATATTTAATCTATGTTTGCATGTTAAATTCTATTGTTATTACTAATGTCATTTGTTTGATGTAATCAGAACAAGCCCACGAATTATTATCGTGGCAAGGACAACAATATTGCGTCTGGTCATTGTCCAGATCCTTGAGCACAATATAGGTGACAGTGTGACTTTATGATGAATTCCACCCTCAGTTTTGAAGGATAGCACCCAGAGGTGGGCCAAAGAGTCTCCTACCCCTTTCCTCTAACACCAAACTCTTTCGTTTCGCCTCATATTTAGAGTGCTCCTATGCCGCACAGACATTATACATTTACAAAACATACATCCTTCTCCGGAATTCGAGCCCGGGCTCTCCGGTACTGCAGTCAGCGTCGTTAACCACTTTCCCATCTGAACGGCACGTTTAATTCTGAATTGATGAATGCGAATTACCGTAAGCCAGTTAATTTCAACTAGGCTTAATAACTTCATACATTAGCGGTAGTCGGAGAGCAGTATAAAATAGTTGGCGATTTGAATCAGATGCGAAAAAATATTAGAAATTATGGCAGTATACTATAAATATTTGCACTTGGTGGGCGATAAAACAATAATTAGATGAGTTTCAATTCATCCGATCTCATTAAAATATGTTATCGGGAATCTTAATACTTTTCTTTAATCTAAATACTTTCATTTCCTCCTCAAAAATAAGTAATTTAATAAATATGCAAATAAATAATACCAATCATAAAGAATTGTATTTTTTTAGAAATATGTATGTTTGAATATAATTGTAATTATATATAATTGTACACTCAAACAGTTTTATTTAATTTTCCAGAATTACGAGCGACTCCAGAACAATGTCGTTGTTCCAAGAAAAGTCTCTTCTGTAATCACAGGGGGCTTAGACAAGTTCCTCTGCTCTTGCCACAGAACGTGCAAGAACTGTAAGTAACATTTAAATTTATGAAGAACTCTATCCATAGTTCTGAATAATGTGTTTATTTCAATCATAATTTCAATTTACAGAAACGAATCCTGAAAGAAAAAATTGTATTAAGGATACTCATACACCTTAAAACCCATAAGATCTTCGAATATGGGACTGTTGCAAGAATTGAGATAACTTATTATTTTAAAAGCAAATTACTTCCAACGTTTTACAGCCGGCTACATAATATAGCTGCTTTCTGAAATAGTAATCAGAAAGTTCGTGTTGCCACAAATATTTTTATAATTTAATTCGTTTTGTGAGAAAAATGTTTCGTCATGTTTCCACCTTGCGCGCACAGTTTAAAACATTCTGTTGCGTAATTGAATTCCATATTTAATATATAGCTTTTGTAACATTTGGAAACTATCGTGAACCAAAATTTATAAGAATTTCATGTTAAATTTTTATTTGATTTGATTTTGAGTTTATAAAATATATTTTATTTAAAAATTCTGTAATGTTTTTATGCATAAAATGTTTTAATACTAAAATATTCATCAGATATTTGGTTCAGTTAGAAAATAGTGCCCGAATAAAGAATTTCATCCAATTTCAAGTACGTACCATGAGCCATTTTTAAAATATCATGTACGCAAGGTGGAAACAGGACGAAAAATTTTATCACAAAGCAGATTAAATTATAAAAATATTTGTGGAAACACAAACTTTCTGGTTTACTAGTTTCCAAAGAAGCTATATTATGTAGTCAGCTATAAAAAGTTGGAAGTAATTGCTTTTAAAAGAAATAAAATATCCCAATTCTTGCAACAGTCACGTATTCGAAGATCTTAAGGGATTTAAGGTATATGAGCCACTTTTTTAAATTAGATTATTTTTTTGTTTAAAACAATTCACTCCATGAAATAAAGTCATGGACTAATGGCAGTTTCCCAAGTAAGAATGAAAAACATAGCTTAAGCTTTTCTAGTAAATCTAACTTTTTGCGATGCAAGTTTTAGTAAACTTCTTGTAAATCACGTCAAGCAAGTAAGTGTCCGGAACTTCAAAAATCAAAATTACTTAAAAAAAGATGAATAATATATTGTCTAGAAATCTGTCATATTTTCGAAAAATGGAAGCCTAGCTACGGAATTTAGCTTTTAGTCTTACCTCCATTTATTTTTTTGAAGGAAAAATGCAGTTTGTTAAATCAAAGTTTTAGAACTTCGAACACGTTTGCAAAATCTTTAAGCCTTTTCAAAAACCATTCGACAATATAAACTGTGATAGTTATATTTAAAGTTTAAGAAATAGTGTAATAATACTGCTTAAAGTTTTACTTTAGCCTCTTTGGCTGTACCTTTTTGGATCTGTTATGAAGTTTATTTTAAGTTAATAATGAATTTAATTTAAAGCTAATATTTTATGCAGACATATTACTGCTTTTAACACTTGAAATTATGATTTTATTGAAGTATGAATATGGATTTTATTTCAAGGAACGCGTATATGTAAATTATTATATTTTTAATACACTAAAGTAAAATAGATGGTAACAGATTAAAGTTAAAAGCAGAAACTTTCGGAAAAAGATTTTGGTATGGCTTATTAGCAAATATTTAATTGAAGGTGTGAAAAAAGAATCTGAAAACTTTCGGATTTTATATGACTCCGAAAGGGGCGTTATTTTCACAGAGAATTAAAAACGGGATTTGAAAAGTGATACAGTCATTCGATGCAAAATACCTTTAGACACTGTAACGTCTTTGCGTTTCTACGCTACTAACATACTGCTAGTAAGTTTCTTTACATTTCTTAAATGTGAAGAAACCTCGCGCATAAAATATCCGTGCTTGAGGAGTCACACGATGTTCATGTTAATGGAAAGTTTTGAAATCGCTGAGTTTGTTGTTCAATTACAAAATATGAAATAGATAAAACAAGTTCCAAATTTGGGATTCCAGATGCCCATATTCGAGTGGAGGACCACGTTATTCAAAATTTGATGTCTTTAGGTGCGGTTGTTTTTTCACAATGCGAGAAACATACATACATTCATGCAGATTCCTCGTTATTTAATTTCTTTAAATATAATACAGGGCTCTAATATTTGGTGGCAGCAATTTGAAAAGGGATTCAGAGTTTTACAGTGAGCCAAAGCAAAATGCCAGAACGAAATTAAAAGCTCTTTTGGGCTAATAATTTTATTCTGCGCGAATTAAAAAAATATAGTAATTAAATAGGAATGCAAATGCAAATAATTTGCTTAGTTTAAATGTTACACATATGCTGATCCAAACTATATCTACCCAATGCTTTAACGAGGATAACCGATAGTTGGTGCACTGTACAGTTTTGTGCATTCATATTTCAGATTATGATAAAGAAATTTATGAAATTACAATAATAAAAATAGTCCAATAATTAAATAGATTATTTAGAGAATATGCATTACTCGTAATCATCTTTAATCAGTTTCAGAAATTATTCTTTTACAACCTTTGTAGAGTCATTAGGTTAATTGGAAGCAGAAAAGATGAAAAATATGCAATCGCCTTCGCCGGGAATCCAACCACGGACCTCTGGAATACCGACCCAGCGTGCAGAACCACTACACCACGAAGGCACGCTAGGGAAGTGAGAGAAATACCTTATTTACTCCCCTTTTTAAAGGACGACTAGGGTTTTAGGGAACCTAGTCGCCAAATCCGGGGTGCGGAGAGTCATCATCCACAACCCTTTTAGTTCGGGCGCCACTTGTAGAGTCATTAGGTTAATTGGAAGCAGAAAAGATGAAAAATATGCAACCGCCTTCGCCGGGAATCGAACCACGGACCTCTGGAACACCGGCTTAGCGTGCAGAACCACTACACCACGAAGGCACGCTAGGGAAGTGGGCGAAATACCTTACACCTTAATCTTTTTAATTTCATTTTAGAAGGCCATAGCTTTTCTAATCTCTGTTAACCAGTGTTAACAAAGAACTGTCGCATCTAAATATTGTTAATATAGGGTTATTTGCAAACTGAAACATTTGAAAGCTCTTAAAAAGTAAACTAATACTAAATACACTACTAATACTAAATTTTATTACTCTGAAATACATGTGAAAACATTAGGTGTTTTTTGTTCCCCCACAAACATTAAATGTGTTCACCTTTGCTCAACTGTTGGACGTCTATGCGTCCTTGGTAGGATTTACTTGGACATACTAGAAAGAGAGCTAATTCCCCAGTTGAACTGAGAACATAGAACAACTATCTCTTTCAATGAACATTTGTCTGTCTCTTTACAGCAGGGACCATTATTAATATTTACCGAAGTATGTCAGTCAATAAGGTTTGCAAAGACAGATAGATGTATTGGCGAGTGGGATTGAATCAAAATTTCCCACTAAAGTGGATTAGACGAATGGAATGCTGCATTAATACGATACCACTCCAGTCTTCCGATTTCGCATATGCTCTTTTATTGCGGGATGTTTTCAAAGACATTATTCTTGTGCTTCCGTTTCCTGCTGATATCCAGGATCTTCGAAACAGTTTCACCAATCTGGTTGATCATAATACACTGACACGCTTGTGGGACTCATCTTACAGATCAGATGGTCACTATATCAGCAAAATTGGGCATATTAAGGATTATGAAATATGTAACAGACACTTGAATACTTTGTTTTAGTATAATAAAATTTGGTATCGGTAGCCTGTTGTATTTGTTATGAATAATCTTTCCCGAAATTATGAGGCATATATGTAACATAAAGTGCAGTTAGAAAGGCACCATGAGCATATTAAAATAAACTGAGAAAATATTCAGAATTTTAATTGCAAATTCGCGGCAGATATGTGCAAAGGGCTGCGTTCTCATTTTTCAAATCATATACTTGTCAATCAACACCATCGTACAGATTTTAGATTGTTGTCGGATATTTACATATTTTATGTGATGGCACATGACTTTTGAAGTTTGTAAATGCTATTACTTTCAGGGCGTCTTTTTTTTTTTTTTTTCAGATTTCGAAATCATTTCAAAATCGCTTCCGATCAGTCGAAAAAATGTTTCAAATTATTTCAAATTCGGCTTGATTATTTTATTCGCAGTCCGTGGCTCTCTCACGGAACGTTTTGGGAAGTATTTCTTTTTATTTAAAAAATTTATTTACTACACAAAGTAACACATGTTGATCCAGTTACCAGTTTTTGGTCTTCCGATCATCTTATCAAAAGGATTTCAATATTTTACAAATGCCAACTAAGCAAAAGTATTCTGTTTATTTCAGGGATTTATCTGGAAATAAATTTCATATTTTACAGAAGACAGATTTTCCAGAACTTCGTAACCTGGATACACTGTAAGTTAAATTTTCTTTCTATTATTTATTTTCTTTAATTTTACCTTTCTTCTAGTTAAATAATGTCACTGAACTAGAATACCTCAAAAATCTAGACTCATTAAATTAACTGTTTATACCTTAAACAAGAAGAGGCCAGTAGCAAAGTATTATTAAAGATTATGTAATCTGTATATGTATGGCATAATAAAAGCAAAGGAAAAACCGCAGCAGTGATGATGTGTAGTTATCCTATATTGAAGAGGAAGTATTCTGATTGCGTCGTAAGCTAATGTGTTGACTTCGTAAATAAAACTCGGAAGTCGAGGCGATTTTAATTCCATTTTTATTTCCAGTTGACATTATGTGGCCACAGATCCGTTGGCACCCTAGTCGGGCCTGTTCAAGAACATTTATATTATTGATATTATTGCAATAGGGGAGCAGGGTAGCAAATTGTGTCCAAGCACAGCACAGACAGAAGCTGAAGTGCGTAGTTATCCAAGACGGAAGCACGCGAAGAGAAAGGTTTCGGTTTAAAATGGTAGTTTCAGTTCCCAGTTATTACGTCATCAGAGCTGCGCAGGCCATAGAATGATCTAGAAATGACGCAATCTAGAGAAGTAAGTTTTAGAATAGAGAGGGAGAATGAATTTTTTACCGTTAGTTTAATTTATAATTTTGATTCACATATTTTTTATCTTACATAGTCCTCCCCCCTTCAAAGAGAAAAAGGCGTGGCGACAGAAAAGCCTTTTTAGAATTAGCAAATTACAGAATTAGCAAAACTAGGTAAATACAATAGTGAGAAAAAATCACAAAATTTTGATATAAATAATTTTTTAAAATATAAAACCTTACATGTATACAGATTATGTAACCTGTACAAGATGTATACACAGATTATATAATCTGTATATATAATATCTTGTATAATCTGTCTGATTATATAATTTGTATAAAAGTATGGTGCACAGCCCACTGATAATGATGGAATGAAATAAAAAGAAATGTGTGTGTTCAAAATTCATTAGCCATGAATAAAATTATGTGTGTTATGTGTGAAGTTTACGGTTACGTCTGTCTTGAAATGTCATCTTTCTAACTAACGCAGTAAATCCTCTCCAAGTAATAACGCAGAGAATCATCGTCAATCCATTGCAGCATTCTTCAAGTCATCCTATTACATATATTAAACTTATATTTGAATCTTCAGAAGTTTCCAAAATAGTTCAACATTGCATAACAAGATATTAAAATATTTTTGATTGAATTCATCGCTTTCTTGGCAAAGCTACATTGTGAAAACTGGTTAGTAATTACCTTAAAACTATCACTTGAATCCAGGGAAACACTGACAAAGATTATCTGTACGTTCCCATATATCTTAGCTGTAGCTTTACCTTTCAATACGTCCTGTAACTGCTGTTGATTATAAGAAAATACAATCTCAAACTGTAACAAACTCATCTCCATTTTACATAGCAGCATCCAAATATTTCAGGAACATATGTTTCTGTTGTATACTCTTAAGCAAATCGGAAAAAGGATAATCTTGAGTAATAGCATCAAACTGCACATCGCCATAATAATCCACAGATGGCTAGTTAAACGACTGTAATTTTTAACTGTTATAAATAGACGATTTACTATTCAATAATGTAGATAATAAGTTTATAACAAATCGAATTATAACAAATCAGATTAGGGTATGTTGTCTGTGTTCGTTCACCTTACTCGTTATAGGTAACATCTCCACTTGTTTCGATAATCCGATCTCATCATTTCAGTTCGCCTTCCACTGCTTAATGGAACGCTTATTTTATAGCTCTACCTAATGTAATCAGTGATTTACGTCTCGTAGAACATCTATAGATAACCTCTTCAGACACATCACTAAATTAATCAGCGTAAATGCAGATCCTGAAGGAAACTGCTTGAAAACATGTTCCAAAAGAAAATACCATTTTTTTAAAATACTGCCTATGCATTCTGTTTCCAGTTATTTTATAGATGATGATGTAGTATCTCTTTTATTTTCCATTATGGCAAAATGATAATACCCATAACGGCTTTGATAAGATTAGTGTAGGCAGGTAACGTGATGATTTTATTAATGTCTTTATTACAGACCTTGCAAGATCAAAGGCTGCCTCCTGGGCATTATTCTGAACGAAGTGTGAATTACACAACCGTTGAAAATTTATTTTAACTAAATCCTATATTTATCACATTTTTCCCAAATTTTCTTGCCGGTAATTTAAAGAAAATTAATTTTTTTCTACAGTAGTTAAATTAAAGTACTGTCGATAACTTCTGCGCTGAGCATAAAATACTTTTGTTGGGCGTTGGTTACAGAAAAGCGAAAAGAATGAAAAGTAAGTTCTCAAAAGCAATTAAATAATAAAATTTTCTTCGCTGGCGTCTTTTTGTTTCATAACAGAATACAATTTTGAATACTCCCATTTCTTTGAATATATCAAATTTTTATTTTTTACTAAAATAACTTAATTCATTTCTGATAATTGTAAAAAACATCCATCATGTACTCAAACTGTCGCTACATAAATGAATTGTGTTGAATCTTGTGTATCGCACATACAGGCTTTTATGATCATTGGGCACATTCAGTTTCATTAAGAAGTTATTAAATAGTTTCGGTGAGAAGAAATAGTTTTACAGGTGCGGAAAATGGCCATGCAACTGTAACTATAATCACACAAAAATGCTTAAGTATGTGGAAATTTCAGCGAAATAGAAAATTTCAGAAACGAAAGGCTTAAATAAAATCGGAAAATGGAAATTGTTTTGAAGACAGGAAATAATTTTGTAAATTTTGTAAATAATCCATATTTAGTAAATAATCTGATTAGTGTGTCTAATTTGGTTAAAATCGATTAATTATTTAAAACATTTCTTCTAAACAGACGTAAAGATGTACTACAATTTAAATGGTAAATAATTCCTATTTCTATACATGAACAAAAAAAGAAAGCTGTGAGTTAATATTTTATTCCATCAATTCGAGGTAACGCTATTTCGATGAATATAAGGATAGTTTGTGAGATCACATCTGTAGAATCAATATTTATGATTATACTTTTTTTTTGTTTCTAGGTATCTCAAACTGCCCATTTCTAAGATCTAATTAAAAGTTTTTACCTTCCAACAACCTTTTCTACAACCATCTCTGTTAACTTGACCAATCATCTTTAAATTTTCTTAAATGGTCGACCAGGATGCGTTAAGCTCATTCGACAACTCTTTAATCATTTGATAAGGATTTGCTTCTACTTCTGCTTGTAAAAGCGTCATTAATATGAGACACTGATATTCCTAAACGAAACAAATCCCCACAATTCAAACTTACCCAACTTGAACCTACCAAATTACCTTTGGTATTTACGGGTATCTAATGGAGCTAGATAAACGTCATAGATGTTTTTTGTAGCTTTTGTTACATAATATGGTAGCAATAATACGATTTGAAAAAAACCTGCTCATGCAGAGGTTTGCATAAACCTCTATTTCGCGTAACTAATTTTACATAATATCCGCTCAGCTCAGCTGAAAGTTGCTATGCCAAAGAAATAAAAAGTATGCTCCCTTCTCAAGTATTATAACCATTCATTATCTTGTTTGTGCAGTACATACTGCTGACAGCTCGCCCTCTTATTCGCTATCGTAATAATACCATTTTGCATAAAGGTAGCACCGTTTACCAACAGTGCTACCTTTACAAAACTTTACGTTTACCAACAGTGCTACTTTTACAACATGCAATGTCGGATATGCAACTGTTCTGGTTTCTGACTTGGTATTTCAAATAGAGATACTAAGCATAAAAAGCAGAACTGATATGTGAAACGAAAGAAAGGAAGTAATTCTTCATTTGGCAAAATTAGCTTGCGCATCTTCAGCGTATACAATCAGCTGGTGAGTGTTCAACAAATGTTGATCTCATTGCAGAACATGAAAGAGACTACCCTTCTTTGGATAAGAAAAAAGAACTATTATGAAAAATGACGTCTGAGATAGATGAAGAGTTAACGGAACTTGGCAGCGTTCATAAACAGAATTGTCTCAAAATTGCTCTTCACGTGCAGCATATACAAATTTGCATGATTCTAAACAGTTTCTTTTTTATTTATTTACACTTCGCAAAATGAAGCAAGGAGTTTGAATTCCTGAGAGTTTATTTCAAGAAGCCTTGTTTTCTCTTCCGAAGTTCTATGTTATATTGAGAATTCCTCTTAAATATGAATTTCTCTGATTTATGTTCATCATAAAATAAAATACAAAATACTTTGTACATTACGTATAAGAAAAAAATAACCAATTTTAAACCTGCAGATCAATAAATTGAAACAAATATTTAAACAGCAGAGCGAAGCGAGATAATTAAATTTATTCAAAACTGCTGAATCCAAATTAAATAACTAAATACTAAAGGTAAGTGAATAAACTTATTTTTCTTAAAGGTTATTTTTTATCGACGGACCAGCTTCACTGCTTCGTTTTTAATTATTTTATTTAGAAAAACATCATATACAAATATTTACAGTGAAGCAAAATACAATTTAATTGTGAGCTTCGGTTACAAGTAATTGCTCACGTCAGAACGGTTACATTTCTTCTTCAAGTCTGCTGCCTCAATCGTAGGAGGCAATAATTTGGCGAGATTCGTTGGCGTAAAATGCGCCAACATCCCGCCTGGCCTTGCTATGTTCACATGCAAGAACTTAACATAAATTTAATTATGAAATACCAGTATTAAAGTTTCAGTTATTCATGTAAACAATAAAATATGTATAGAAAAATATAAAATAAGTGAACAAAACATGAATACAAAATTATTGAGAAAAATAATTTTCAATATAATTACTAACAACTGAGTAACATAATTCACAACTTGCTAAACTTCAATAGGCAATACAGCTATTTTATTAATTGTCCTTTTAAAGTCCCCTGTTTTGGTACGAACTTTTACAACACGGACTTTTCCATCAGAACCGTGGTAC